CAACAGAATTTTCTTTCCATGGTAGCTGAAGAGGTTAGAAACGCAGCTCAAAACTGAGCACAAAAATTATACAGAATTAACGTTCATGTTCTAAAGACAGGAAATAGAAAGCTGAATTCTCTCTCCTTAATTCACTTTGTTGTGCTTTGTGTAGCCACTCTTGCAGAATCAGACATTATTAGGGAAAACTCCTGCTTTTGCTGGCCGTTTTGCTCAAGTAAGGTCTGTGTGATCGGGATAGCTGCTTGCAAAGTCAACAGCTACAAACCTGTCAAGAATGGAACCTGCAACCTCTGGCTTTGCAAGAACAGTCCTATTTTCAAATGCAAGGTGCTCTAATGTGTAAAGCATAAGAGAAAATCTATAAAAGATGGTAAGTGATGCAAATTCTTATGCCCCATGGGAGAAAGATGTAATGGTATCAAAACTTTGCTGGTTACTCAAATGGAGTAGCAAATATCGCATGTTGAATTGTATCAGATGTAAACATAAACTACCTGGGAATCTTTCTAAAACATGGCACTTGGTAAACTCAACTTTTCTGAAGGAGGGGGGTGCAGTCCCAGAAATTCAGCTTTGCCCAGGGCAGTCGGGGTGTCTGAACACTGTACACGCTCAAACAGATGTTGTGGAAACCCACTGCGATACAACGGTACAACACACGTTCCAGGGACAAGGGAGGAAAGGGGAAAATTACTTCTATAAATCTGCAGGAAGGCCACACTGTTGTGGCACCACACCGTTTCTGAGTGGCAGTGCATGTCTGAATTTTGGCCCCAGATTGAAGAAATAAAGGCTCAAGGAACACTACAAAACAGTTCTCTCCGCCTTTTAGAAGCAGCTAACTAGCCCCAGCCTTCCAAGGAGTATGTCAGGATGAAGCAATACATCTGTGTTGAAGCAAGGAGGGACACCAGGCTTCAAGTTTTTGTCTGCCACAAAGCAAAACCAAACTGCAAGTTATTAATTGCACCATTTGCACTTTTTTGGGAAGGGTTTTTCAGTTTCTTCCTCTGTTCTAATGTACTGACGTTGCTAGCACCCTCTGCTTGCATCCCAAAGGGGAAAATGTATTTAATATGTATTTAATGTGTGATTTAACGTGTGATTGGAGCTCCCGAATCAACAGCAAGAAAGATGATGGAAAACTAAGCCACTCCAGGGTTGCAAGGACATAAGAAAAGGAAGAAATCATCCCTGTGACCCTATAGCCTAGCAGACAAATAGACTTGTTTCCACAAAGACTTGCATGTCCCCCAGATGTGAGGGAAGGCTCTCCAGGCTCCTTCGAGTTGCTGCCCAAAGCCGGGGTCTGCTCCTGGCTGTGGCTTCTCTGATCCTGTTAAAGCTTGTCACTGTGGGAGGTGGAACCGCTTGTTTCAAACAAGTGAAACAAAAGTGTAACGAGACATAGGCAACCTTTTGCCTTTTGAACTCTCCAGGGTTCTTAATTAATCCACGTTTTGTAAACGCAATTAATTCTTTGCTGCAAGTCTTGGGAATATGGGGGGGGAGGGAGGCGGGGAATCACAGTTTAATGCATTTTGGGGAAAAAGGCCTGACTCACAGAAGTGCCAAATCAGTTGGATTTCACAACACTTGGATTTCTCACCTGCTTATGGTATTTATGCACACTGCATACCTGTCTGGCTGAAGGCCAGCCTGCCTTGAATCTGTTTGCCTTCCTTCCTAATGGGAATATTAGGCCCCTTGTCTGAGAGAGCTTTTGGAAAGAGAGATCAGTTATTCTTGGGTTATAATCACTGCCAGAAAGAGAGCTTTTCCACTGCTCGGTTACAGCAGCAAAGAAGAGGTAAAGAGCTTTTTGAGGTCTCTCAGAGGGAAAAAGCAAAGGTGTGCTGATGTGTGATACGGATTATTTTACAAAGAGGCTCTGCTGCAGAAGAACACGGCTGTGAAATGCATCAACACGTTTTCTCTACAGACCATTGCAACGACTGCTCTAGAGATAAGAGTATCTTGGGTCTACTGGCTATAAAGAGCATGGCTCTGGTGCTCCAGGTGTTTGAATAAGGAGGGGTTTACTCTCAGTTGGTGTTGCCGTGTGTTGCCTTCACAGGAATTTGTGGCAGCTGCCATCCAGATGATGAGTTGATGAAGAATAAGAAAAGAAGAATTTAGCTGCTATCGAAAGCATGGGAAAGGAAGGAGTTTTAACATTGATGCAACATTTAATCATAAAGATCCTCAAGACAATTTTCACATTGGACTAATGCTAGAACAGCACTGACTTCTGCAATAATTGTCACGATCCATCCGTGCTCTCCACTAGACTTCCTAATGCCCCTATGCTTGCAAGTTCATCCCTGGTTTCTGCTGCGGTAAAACTGCCCAGAGAAACTTAAGCATCCATTCTTGACTGGTGAGCCTCTGTGAAAATGCTCTGCTACGTTCCAACTCTGAGAATTTCTGCAACATTCAAATGTTAATGCAAAATGTAATCCACAATATCCCATTTGAACAAACAGCAATCAATCTAATACACTACAGCTCAATTACTTCCTTGATCTCTGAAACAGGTGCTGTCAAATAAATCTACTGAATAAATCAGTCCCATTGTAACCATTAGGAAGGATTTTATAACTCCATTTGCTGAGTGGGAAGACATTTTTCTCTCAGTTTTTTTACTGACAGTCAGATAAAAACCATACTAATCAAGAGAGACATGCAATAAATGCCTTGGAGGTGAACTCCTGTTTATACTGAGGCCTCTTAGTCCTCCACTTGTCTGAGGATTCTGATGCTACCACAGCACAGAGAACGGGGCCCTTTGGATCCAGTCCAGTTGTCGTCATGGACGGACTGGGAGATGCCTAAAATACCATGACTGCCTGCATAATATTTTCACACTGAGCACCTTTGCATCGTTGATGCTTTATTCTTCTGTCACAGCTTGTCCCTTCTTATTCCTGGCAGGAGACTCACAGGGACCTCCAGCAAGGGCATCTGCAAGGATGGAGCTGGTCCCCGTTATAGAAAGTATCTCTCTATATATTTCTGTTATGCTACTGCACTGTATTATTTGCAGCAAAATCCATCTTTGCTTTCTTGCCACTTTAAAAAATATTGCCCCTGAATATTTCCTTTCCCATTCTTGCTCCTTTTACTTTTAAAATGTTCACCAATATGCACTGTATTTCTTTTCATAAAGTTCCATGGTCTGGAAAAATGTATCAAGAGGATGACACCTACTTAATATAGGTTTTCCCCCCGCGGGGGTTGCTCTTTTTTTCCCCCCAGTGCTTTGCAGTAAGATTAAGCAAGTGAAAGTGTCAGCTCTTTCTGAAATGAGAACAGCGCTGGGATTGTCTGTTGGCATCACGCAGAATGGATACAGATGCACAACAGAAGATTAGCGGATAGCCGCTCTGCAACCATTATTCATTTAGCTGAAAGGTAAATGCTGCTCCTCTCGGGGGGAAAATGGAGAGGCTGCTGCCAGCCAGGCAAGATAAAGTCCGCAGGACTCCAGGGAGTTTCGAAGTGCAGGAAGCAGAAAGTCAACAGAAAGAGGGTCTCTGAAGAGAAGTCAAAGAGAGGAGAGTAACATGGACTGAACTAATAGGAAAAGTCACCCCAGTGCTACCACGGCTCGACGTCTTTGGCCATTTTTCCTTTTCATGCCTGCAGCAGATGTCACTGCTCACAAGCAACTAATGGCAACTCTGGGGATGGCCAAAAAATGGATGTAGGAGCACATGGAAATGCTAACCAAGACAACCCAGTCAGCTGCAAAGATAGATACAAGAACAGCTACAGTGCTGGACCATGTTTAAAGGCCTCTACTATACCACTTCCTTCTGGGAAGCCTATATTTTGTTCTGCAAAGTCTTATTTTATCTGTGCAGCATTAAGCCCTGTGTTTCCTGGCAAGGGCTGTGCATAGCTCAGTTATAATGAATGAAATGAGCTGGTAACAGTTGGGTATTTATAGGCTCAGCGGGCTGGTGCTCCAAAAAAATCTGAAAGCACTTAAAAGTGCCTTTGGCTCCGAGCAACGTTGACAATCCCTACCAGTTTGGGGGGACATTTGGGAGGAGTCACAGCAGAAACAATCACCACGGAAGTATCCTGAGCTGTGTGCATCTTCCAGTCCAGTTTGCAGAGAGTGAAAAACGAGTTAAAGCATTAAAATACGGAAAACCAAGATTGCATGCCCAAGATTACTGTGAATATGAATACACAAGCTAAGTTCTGCATGATTTGCTGTGGAAGAGCTCACTCATGAGTAAAGACAAGGCAATGAGATCATTAGTTTGCTTAAGGTAATTGAGTTGAATATTGCTAGACATATAATATAGTGGCTTATCATTAATGACACCAGATAGCTTTGAGAAAACTAAACATCTACCAGACATACAAGTGACTCTCTTCCTGCTTCCTGGAGACCTACACTCCAAAAAGGCAGCAGCCCAGGTCTGGACCTAGCAAACCAGCCATCGATATCACAGGGCTTCTCTAATGACAAACTGGTTCCCGCACCATGGCGTCAATGCAGCCCAGGGGACCAAGGTACAAGGCCTATGGCCTTGCCCCTGTCGAACCTGAACAGCGCTGAAGGCTCCACCAAGATAAGATTGCAGGTTACACCTGCTCCGCAGTCCTGTGTTTGAGCTCCAGGTTTTCCAGGTGCTGATCCTACCTACCTGCTGATTGGGGGCTTGCAAGACAGCAAGGTCTTTCTTGGAGAATAACGGCATTTTCTGTCTCCAGTATGAGATATTTTGGAGCCAAAAAAACCCAAACGTAGCCAACAAGAGGCAAATTCTCATTATTTTGTTCAATGCTGAGCACTGATTGGGCCAACCAAATCTGTAGTGAAGTCTGAGATGAGAGTTATCTCAAAGAAAGGAAAGAGGGACAGTGTACGTAGAGGTGCTCTCTTGGGTATCCCATCTTCCCCTAATCAATGAGCGTGAGCTTGCAGAGCTGCAAGCAAAGGACAGATGGAAAAAAATGAGAATACAAGTACTACTTACTACAGACGAAAGGTCCATGTTTACCATCCTCCGGTCATCCAAGTCGACTGGCTGGAGGCCCGCAACGTTGATCTGGACAGAAGAGGTTCTGTACACAAAGCGCAGCAGCCAGTCTCCCCTAGGAGCAGAGCAGAAGAGTGTGAATAAATCTTGTTGCCAAACCAATGCAATTTGTGACTACTCAGACCACGAGGAGAGCAGAAGGGCTGGGAAGTACAGTAATGTCTGGCCCAAGACCTGCCGCGGCTTTGTCTGACACAGGAATCACAGCAGTTGCTGAATTCAGGGGAGGTTCCTGGGACATAGTAGTGTAAGTCTGAATTTAATCCTGTCTCATGGGTATAGTCTCATTACGTGCAGTAGGTTTAAAAATCTGACCGTTCTATTTATTGCTGTATTTGCTTAGAGATTGCAATACATTCGCTTATTTAATCTTTTTAATGTACTAATAGGTAGAAGTTCTCCAGGCTGTAGACAGCTGTAAACTTGATGACGCCTACAATACCAATGTTGCTGACATAAATATCGACTGTGAAGCTCCTCGGAGCGCTCCTGATTTATAGGTACTGTATAAATACACGGTTTCAACGACAAAACTAGGAAGAGTTTCTTCCCGCTGTAAAGTATTGCCATAAGTCACTGTGACAGTTTCAGGATAGACTATAGCAAGATGAGAGAAGGCAATGCATCCTTCCCCTTCTGCGCTGAGCAATAGCATAAAACCGGGCACATAAACACCACTACACTCTTCTAGAGTAGAATTAAGTTGGTTGCAAGCGGTATTTACACAGTGTGATGGCAGGAGGTGAAATGCACCTGCACAGGTCACCATTTCTGGCTGCTCCTGTCCACTCCAAAATAGCCTGTGCTAGAAGTTGTAAGTCCAAGCAGAGCTCTCCAAAAAATTTGCGAAGCACCCACGCCACTCAGGCACGGGGTTCTTTCAAAAGCTGAGCGAGTCTAACTGATTTGGTTAAGGTTTCCCGGTAGGAATTTGTAACCCTGCTGTGAAATCGGATGGGACAGCTCTGACAGCTGGCTTTCACTCCCCATGTCCTTTCAGACTTTAAAGCCAAAGGAGACAAGCTACACTGGACTGAAACTCAACAAATTGGGCCCAAATCTGATCTTGCAGGAGTTCTATTCAGTGTAATTCATCTGACCTAAATAGAGTTACTGCTAAAGTGACAGAACGAGGCCACAATTTGTGTAAGCGAGAGAGCAGAGAAGTCAGAATCAGGTGAAGTCTTACCACAAAATGTTTGTATAATCTTTCTCCCATATCCAATATCCTCACACAGATGCCCTGTATCTCCCAGTTACCTCCTCTAGCTGCCCCTCATGCTAACTGAATAACCCTCCAGTTCAGCATCTGAGGGCAAAGCAGAGAACCAGCGCAGCAGAATATTTCCTGACAGCCTCCTCACCGGCTTCTTCGTATTTGTGAGCAACAAGCTACCAATTTCTACATCATTTTTCATTCAACGTTCAAGCCACGGGCTTGCCAAAGCAGAGTCTAACCAAATTACTGCGCACACAGAGGTACAAACACACATACTATTTTATTCCAACAGCACATGCTGGCTTTGAAACTATAACAAAATCTTTATTTTTATATATATTATAGGAAATGAATACACTGAGCTTTTTGCAGTGAAATTGATTTTTGTATAACACGGGGAGGAACGGTATTTGCCGGGGCAAATTCAGTTATATGCAGCAATTGCTATCATTTATGGCTTCTGGGAGGAACACAGAAGCACGCCCAAGGAGGCAGCAATTGCTTTTTCCTTATGTCACATGAAGAAATACTGTAACTGGCGTGCACATCCAGCATCCATAAAACCTCCTGTCATCCAAAAAGGACAAAAGCAACAATTTTCAGCCTGACAGATGGGATTAATAATTTGTTGTTTTAATCCTGAATGCTTTTAATTCTTTTATTTAGTTCTTCTTTGTAAATTAACATACTAATTTAGAGGCACAGTAATACAATACGTCCTTATCTTATACGTCTATATGTGGGCATACATATGTTTGTGTGTATGGAAAGTACCAACAGCATTTGAAGTGTCCTTGACCTGAGGGCTTGTGGCTTTATAAGCTGTCTTGACTTGCAGTTACACGTTCTTTGCTAATTTTCTTGCCTGGTTATTTCTCAATTTATTTTCTCATGCTCTTAGTCTTCCCTGCTTCATTCCTTCATTTTAATTTCCCCCCTTCTAATTGTGCCGGTAAGCAGTGTTCTTGTCACAATTATCTTCCAATACATGGTCATTAGATTTGATACTGTCACTTGAATTCTTAATAGCTTTTATAAGATTGCTTCAGCTGGTTTTTGCCTCTGAATCTCCCTCTTCTCACCCAGCAGCTCTCACAACTCTGCATAACAGTTGCCCGTGCAGTTTTAAAAGGCCAATATTTGGTTTCAAGGTAACCTTTCTATTCTTTCATGTCCTTAGTAAATTTGCTATAGCTATTCCAGCTATACCTCCTTTGTAAGTGAAATATCTTGTTCCTGTGGACTATCTTGACCAGAAACTGACTCTACATATAAAAAAATCTTCCATTTGCTTGAGCTTCTTCCCTTCCATTGCAATTTTGACATCTTGTTCCCCATAAGCATCCCCTAGTGAATTGTATCTCAAAGCTTTTATAGATTTTAATTTGCATTCTTTGTCAGTGAACTTAACGGCCATATTTATAGTCCTTTACATAAAGCTGAGATTTAAAGGGGCCTTAAAATATGTCAAAATATGCACACAAATACACTGACCCAGCTTTAAGCACCTCAGGCTTCCAGTGTAAGTATGCAAACAGCCAAGAACTGCAGACAGAACAGCATTCAAGTGTCTCCTGAAGACTGTCATCTCCAATTAATCCGAGGGAGAGACCTCCGGAGGAAAGAGGCTCTGGCACTGCTGTCTCTGGTGCTGCTGAATTAACATCCTCACCAGCTGAACAATTATTCACTTACAAAATGTTTAAAAGGAGTAGAAAATCATTCCAAAGTGACGCTAGGATAATGAAGCGGGGCACTGAGCACATACAGACCTGCAATAACCATTTATGATCCTGCCCGACACCACTTTTGTGATAGCTTTCCAGTACTTGGCTTCTCCTTCCACTGGAGCTCCCAGTAAGACCACATCTTCAATGAGCCCTTGAGAGTCTATTAAGGTCAAAGCAGAACAGCTCAGATTTAGAAGACGGATCAGAAAATATACCTTTGCATGAAGGAGGGGTATGTTCAGATGTGTGCTACAGAAAAATCATTTCTGTGGTTTAAATTTTAAAGACAGAAACAACAGAAAGGAGGATCTTAAACAGCATTTTGCCTAAATGTTAAGTGTCCGCAGATCCAGCTGGAGTCAGTAAATGTGAAAATTAGAGATCCTGAGGCAGTGACAGGAACTAGGCTGATGGCAAGAGGGAGAAGTGGCCTGGCCTCTGTCTGGAAAGATGCTGTTCAAGCAGCAAACCCGTGGAAAGTTCTTTCTACAGCTGTATTGATCTGGGTTTGCACAGAGCTGAGCTATGACGCTTTGAAACAGGTGAAAGGGACTGACGTCCCACATAGGGAGCAAAAGTTGTCATATATTAAGCACGATAAACTCTTCCCACAACTAGTCCTTAGATCTGAGTTCATGAAAAACATGACCTGTACACGCAACAGAAAATCTCCAAATTCTTAATATTGATTGAGACCTAGCAACAGTCAAGGCATTTGCCAACACAAAGTGATAATCTATCAAACTACTTTGATTTTCTTGAAGGGTACTTTAACCTGAATGCCCAGGGCATGATTTGCTGAAAAGGAATATTGACTTTTAAGCATAATAAATCTTCCTCTCTTATCAGACAGCTGCAGCTGGGGAATTTCAGTAGAAATAATGATTGAATGAGAAATATTGGGCAGCTCTGCTACTTTCCTAAGCTCCTAAACAATATATTAATATCTATTCATAAATCTTCTTCGTAAAGGGAGATCAAGCACCTGATGCCATAGCAGTTAAATGAAATTCACAGCAGCACACGTCTTGAGAGACTCGTGGGCATATAGCATGCCAAATCCATACTCTCCAGCGCTGGGAGACCACCGCGTACCAGATGTGAGCCAAACCATTCTCAGTTTGTAAAATAATACACTGAAGTTTATGGGGAAGCGAAAGTGAGAATGACTGCATACCACATCAAGTTATGACGGAGAGGTGCTGCCTGGCTAGACTTTTAAAATGTAAATCAATTGGTTTCCTTTCCCTAATAGTAGTAAAAGACTTGGAGCTGCCTGCAGTGCCTGCATCTTTCTCTGCAGTGTAAATCCCAGCGCCTGACAACAATCCAAAAGAGCTCTCGCGGTATTATTTCTTACTGCAAAGCAAATTTTGCACCAATCAAGAGAACAGCAAAGAGCAATTCAATTTTGTTAGTGTAATCTGTGAGCAATAAAGTCCTGTTCCAATAATCATGGGCAATGAAAAAGAAACCCAGAGCCTTGCAAACGGGGAGCTTGTTCCAACCAAAGTACTAAATTCCATGGCCACAGTGTGAGCCAACTGAATAAACAAACAGCTAATTCATCAGGATCCTGAACATTTGGGCAAGGTATCGGAAGCTTATGTTTCTCCAGTCCTTTGTGCAGCTTATTTCTTGCTCAGAACAAAAATGTTCAGCCTTGGCTGAAAAATACTCATTTTCTTCGAATGTTGACAGAGGGGGACAGAAACCTGAGAACAGATCACTGGTCTGCATAGCTGCTGACGCTCTAGATAAGGTAAATGTATTTCACGGTTTGCAAATCTTTTATATGCTGAAGAATAATAAAGTCTGCACAGCAGGAAAATGAAACAACACAACAACAAAAAAAGCAATTACTGATGGGCAAAATTTAAAAACTGATAAGATGATTTGTCCAGAAAAGGTGTGGAAGATACAAGCTGACCCAAGGGCTGTAACCAGTCCTTGGGAGCTAGGCTTTGCTGTGCCGTTAGGGCACAACTCACTGGGCAAAGGGGAAAGCATCTTGTCACATTAGTCCTCATGGAAAAGAGAACAAGGGTGGGATTTAGGTCTCTCAGGGCAGTGTACGGATGCGGTGTTTCATGGCAGAGTTTGGCAGTTGTATTCCCAACCCCTGACCGCAGCAGAGATGATAACCCAGTGGTGATGAATCTGTAGGGCACTGTGATCAGTATTAGACAAATATATAGTGTGTGATACCTCACACCTGTCGAGCGCAGTGTGGCTTCAAGGTTCAGGTTCAGATCATTATCAATTTTCATTAGTTTACACTTTTTATTTACTAAACTGCATGGGAATCGTGATGAAGAAATCAAACCACTGATCTTCCTGTGCAATAACTTGTCTCTGACGGGTCATTACTACATCTTCTGCTATAAAGTAATTTTCTGGAAACTAATAAGCTCTGGCTTCCAAAGTAATTTATGATGAAGTATCCCAAAGGTTATTTAATTGCTTTGCAGAAGAGTATTTTCTTTTAACAGAATTTGAGTTTCTGCCATGACGTTTCACTGGATAATCCATGATTAGTTATTTGTCCTCAGAAATGCCACTGCCATCTGGATACAAAAGGCCTGCATGAGTAGGCTGTGTATTTCTTTTGTGTGAGACATCCAAGTCCAAACCCAAATCAGCCTCAGATGTCCCAGGTCCCAGCTCCATTCCTTCTGTGGCTTGCGCTGGAATGTGCATGTGAAGAATGCCTTGGCAATCTGCGCTAAACATGCTGCTTTTCATCTTGCAAACAGCTCAGCTTTCATAATTCAATTAAGGAACTGAAAAATTAGTGTACAGTGGGGAGCTGCTATGATACATAATTATGATGCTTAGATTTCTTTAGAATGGCAGCCAGCCTTAAAAAGACCTCTAATGATTTCCTTTCACGTATTACTTTGCTACGGTCCCATGTTACTCCAGCGAGAGACTGCAGACCATTAACTAAAAGCCTGAAAATATCTCAGCCCCTGGCACTGTTAGGAGACAAAAAGAGCAGGTCGAGGGCCAGATTAGGATCTGGGTTCTGGCTTCAGTGTAACTCCATTAGGATCATTCTGGATCTGATTAGATTTATTTTGAGAACAGAAATCCTGTATTTGAGGAATTCCATCTTAAACCAGAAGCGAAGTTCTGGTACACAGTTGTCAAGAGAAAAAAACGCTGACCTTCTCTGTCCTCACCTGGCTCTATTCCCACCTTCTTGGACTTCATTGAAGATTTTCCTTTATAAAGCTCCCTATTCATTAGTGACTCAGTGAGGCTAAAGGGTTAATGAATTAAATTAGCTACGTAGGGGGGAAGGCAGGCGGCACGCACACCCTCACTACTGACTCAGCTCCAAGATGCAATTTACATCAACTGATCATAATGATTTTATTCTTTTTCTAAATTAAAAATAGAATCTATTAATAAACAGAACCACAACGGGTAATAAATTGACAGATGGTTTTATACTTGACTTTGGGGAAAAATTACCATGAAAATAGCAGATGACAGTGGCATTTCAGTGACTTAAATGGAAGGGAGGACGCAGGGAATCAGATACAAAAGCTACAGAGAGCTTCCAATAAAGGCAAAGCATCCTCTGCCAAGATCACAGTGGCGCGTGGGCAGCTCACAGACTGATCTAGCAGTCAAATATCACGAAATGTCAAGTTGTTGTTTACAGACTGGAGACCCAACTGACACACTGGAGCACCTCGAGTGAAGACAGCCAATTTAATCCACTGAACTGGTGGAAATGACAGTAGAATTTGGCTCCCGATGTATTTCAAACCCATTTTTTTTTTAGGCTTCTGTCCTATACTAAAAGACCCAAGCTCTGTTCCAAACTCTTCCTCTCAGAAGAAAAACTTATCTACCTGCAGTAAGGAAAATAAAGGAGAAAAAGGTTAGAAGGTGAATTTTACCTTTTTCTTGAGCCATTTCCTGCAGGCAGAAGTAAATGACTCTTGCACCCAGACTGAAGCCGATCAGTGTGACAGGTCGCTTGCCCTGAGAAAGAAGGAAAAGAGAAAATGCCATTAAATACTGTTCGAGGGCTAGAAAGAGAGACTGGCCGCAGGATCCCCAAGACCCCAATACAAAAAGCACTTACGCTTGTGCATCATCTTTTAAACATTTCAGCAATTTTGTTGATTTCAAAGGGATTATGTATCCTCAAAGTTATGCACAGTTCAATATTGAGAGTTCTGCACATCTGAGTACTTTGTATTTTTTGATATTCAGAAAACCAATTGAAAGAATCCAATGATCAGAAGTTACAACAAAGTGGATGTTTCGAACAGAAATAAAACATTCACTGCTGCTGTTTTGAAATTTCCAAGTGAAAGCCTAATTCACAGAACAAAATTTTCCTAGAAATGTTGCGATAAACAGAAGAAGAAACTGTAATACAAAAATATTGACCACTTCGAGACTTAAGACTGAATGGCAGCAGCATTGTGTGGCTGTTCTAAAAAATTATGTGAGGTAAGCTTTTATTTTGAATAGCCTAATAAGATTTTCTTAAGATCAAAGGAAGCCTAATCTCAACAGCAATGAAAAATGGTCTTTGTATTAACCAGGGAGCAGGTGTGCGATGGACTCCCTTGGCACCACGCTAACTAGTTTTAGACTCCGGCACGTTGGAATGTGTGTTTTCACAATAGCGAATGCTTAAAAGGCAGTAACAAATGCCCCCAAGCAAAACAAAGGGCTCGTATGAAATAAAGTTTATTGCCTTTCCTGGGATTGTATTTTTATGAGAAATCAAGTTTGTTTCTACTCTGCTGTTCCACATTGTTCTTTATGACATGCAGCTCTGGGGCCATGGCTCCCGCAGGCTCCTCTATAATAGAACCCGGACTAGTGTGCCTGTGAGACGAACACATGGCCAGCAGAAAATGGCTCCCTCCACACCAGTGATAGCCCAGCAAATAAAGGCAGGGGTTTTTTGAGCAGAAACATCTTCTGCAAGCCTTCTCAGGGAGGCTTAGTAACTTCTGTCACGTCTTCCAGGTAGCAGCCCGTTCCCCTTCTCCATAAGCAAAAACACGGCTCACAGTGCATCTGCTGCTGCAGTCTTCTCTTACGTTGTTTTGCTAGTGCCTCTTAATTATCAGTGAATATTTTTAACATTCTGTCTTTTCTTTCCCTTTTCACCTATCTTTACTTTCTGTTCTCAGATTTCCACTAGGTGAGTTGGCCTGGCTGTTTTGTGACATGGTCAAGCCACTTGTCATTTATGACCTCGATCTTTTCTTCCTCATTTAGAAAAGCCTTAAGTTAAATGGAATGAATCTTAGCAGGAATTCTCTGATTCTCTTGGGACTTCCTATTTTTCCCCAAGGAACCAGATACATGCTGGTCGCCTTCATGCATAATTTTTTAACATTTCAGTTTATTACTCATTTTCTTCTCCCTGGAAAAGATGCCACTTGGTAGTTAACTAGCACGACTATAAAATTTAACCTCCTTTCCAGACATTATTCCTGGATAATTTCTAGGTAATTACCTGCTGTCGACTGAGCAGGATATGTGCTAGGTGTTTGCCTACTTCAGCAGACCGATGGAGACACACTCCCCAGGGGTTGTCAATGACACTGGCAACTGTCAAGAGTGAAGCTGGCCAAGTCAAGGCTGTCATGATACCTGCAACGCACAAACAGCACGGCATAGTCACAAATCTAGGCTGCTCTTAGGAAACATCAAAAAGCAAGACGGTTCACTGAAGTTAAAAGCTAAACCCAGGACCTTCTGTCATTTCCAGTTCTTCTTTCTCAAGAGCTGATCTGAGAAATGCTTTGCTAGACTAAAGATAAGAAAGAATCTGATGTTCTGATACAGAGGCAAACAGACGCTATACATGAATGTAACCTGCATGTTTGAAAGGTTTATGTAAAGCACTAAAACACAGTGTACTAACACAGAGAAATAAACACAGTCACACATGAAGGAAGGTGTTTCCAGCTGTGATTTTAAAAGAACGCGTCAATGACATAGAGGCACGGCAATTCAGGAGAGCAAATCTAAACTGCAGGTGTGGCAGAGAACGTTCTGCAGGGCGGTGCCAATACTGCCAAGGGAGATGCCCGCTCAGAAATCTTCCTCATTTTGGAAAGCTCCTTTAAACAGACACCAACAGTGAAACTGCACAAGAGCCACTCAAGCAGATTTGAGACATTTTAGGTTCTTACCTGACAAGACGGTGAATTTTAAGGCTTCTTGAGCCATCATGTTCACAAAACCATTCAGCAGGGAATCCAAGACGGTGCCAAGCTCCATCAAGTACTTGGATTCCCAGGCCAGACAATACTGCTCGCTCGATTGCAACAAGCTGCTCCATGGTGCTGTGAAACTCCCTGAGAAAGATGCAAAGTTGCAAAGATGGAATTCATGTTCAGAAAAACCACAACAACAGCTGGCTCCTGGCAAGATGAGTCCAACAAAGAACCAGAAAAGAACTGGCTGGACACTGGAATACACTGATATATTGTGAAAACCATGAATCATATTTAAAAATACTGCTAGGTTTAGACTCCGTATTTCCACTGTTTTACAACTGAGGGGTGTAAATAATGCCCTAGCTTTAGCTGCCTTGACAAAGAGTCTTCAGTGTGGACAGGCTGACTTCAGGACCCATTGAATCGCCTCAGAGACTGCCAAGACAGATGGACGTTAACACTAATTACGTCAGTTATTAAGGACGTTCCTCCTATTGTCAGACATCAGGCTAAGTCTGGCAGCTCCATCTTCTCATATAGACCAAAGGAGGGGCTGTCCCGAGAAGGATGAAGTGCTGAATGGCTGCATGGACTGAGTTCAATGGGACCAGAAGCACAGAAAATATGTAAGATCTTGTCAAAATCTATCGCTGAGCATCTTCCCAGCACTTCAGTTAGGTGGGCAAGGATTGCATTAGTGGTTCTGTCTGAAAACAAGGAATCTGCATTTGCAGATCCAGACTATAATTATTTTTACTTTGCCATCTAGCCTAGTTAGTCACTCCACTTTCATTTTTTCCCCTCCAGGTGCTAATAAAAAGCAGTGCCTGGATGTTTGAGAGATAATGGATAATTTACACTGTGCAAGCCTAATTTTTAGCTGAAAGAACAATTTTTAAGCCATTCTCTCTCCTGTTTGTAGTGTAGCTTGTACTAAGTGGCCAGGCAGGGCCTGGCAATGCTATTAATGGCAGATGAACTCTGAAGGGCAGAGCAGAATTTTCATCTAGTGGGAGCTCAAAAATCACAAGGTAACAAATTCCATAAAAATCCCATCCTCAGTCCCTCTGTTTTAAGGAGTCATGCAAGTGTGCAAATAGACAGGCACAGCTGTAAGGAGGAAACCGGATGACAATTCTACTTTTGCCTTTTTAAACATTATAGCAGATTGCTAGTTATGGAAGAAGAATGCGTGTCATTTGTAACTCCCTTTTAAGGGCAAACAGACACAAAAACATTCCTGAAGGGACACACTTGTCTTTGTAAGAGTGCCTGGGAGCCCTCCCACCCTAAGGATTTGGACCCCTGGCAAGCAGACGATGAGAAAAGCCGAAGTGCGGTACTGCAAATTGAAAATAACCTTACTCTGACAGCAAGCTGCAACCTAACAAGCAAGAGGACAGAGACATCCTTCTGCATTAATGATATCCAGTGTTAATTACGATGCCTCTGAATAAATTGGCAGCTGTTCAGTCAGGTTGCTGATCAGCAGACAGTTGACATATTTTATATGACAAGCTGTAGTGGAAAATAAAACACTACAGACCTTTCAAGGTTGCTGCCTGTAAGTTCACCTCCTGAGTGCTGTATTAACAGGATTTACTTGACAGAACTTTCTTGCCAATAAACCTCATTATCTGGCAGATACCGAGAAAGAAAAAAGACACTATTTTCTGTTAATTGCTGGAGGATAAACATAAGGTCTCAGAGATAGGTGAGACACTTTGTACTGGTGCTGGAAATCATCCACCCTGAACAGACTTTTCAGGCAAAACCAGACAGCATTTATTAACAGAAACAATCCTGCTATGACTACTACCAATCCCACTATCACTACCAATTTACTGCCCTCTTTCTTTCCTGTTTTGATTGGAATTGCAGATTGGGTTAAAAAGTCTTACGTTGAGAGTTGATCTCTCTTAGTCAACAGGCCATGCAAGCGTGGAGAAGTCACAGTGCTATGAGAGCCCAGATACTGCCTGGAGTGGAACAGAGATGTGGCTCTCCAAGCTCCTCTCAGTTTCCTCGTCTTGTTCTTACCATATTTGCCAGCGCACAGCCATCCAGTAATTGCTATGGTGATATGAAGCTGCTTGCCTTCAGTAAGTGGGAGGAATTCAAACTCTTCTATGGCTCCCACACGCTTCTTCATCTTGTATCCTACACGCAGTAAGGCAGAAACATGAGTCTCAGAAATTGCACAGCAAGGACAGACTGCTAACGGTAGAAGTTCATAAGAAATTATTTGGGTAATTTGGATAGTGGGGTTTTTTTCCTTTCCAAACCCCTCAGCAAGTCCACACATTACTTCGAGCTTGGTATGGAGCCACAGTGATCCTTCTGAGCTTGTGTGATCCAAGGGAATCCCAGCAGAAGGCTTTTCTGCTGCAGACCAGACATCAGCTGTAAAAACCACTGCTCTCCAAGGCAGCATCTTTCTAATTCAAAGCAGCAAGCTTCCATTTCCTTCATTAGCCACATACCAAATATTCTTTTCCTACTTGGTCATCAGGGGCTACACAATATCTTAATCAGCGTTGAAATAAAAATTTCATAGTAGTAAGATTACATCTCAAATTGCTTCCCTTGCTCTGCAGAGCTCAGTTAAGTTGTTAGCTCTGTGTTTGCAGACACGAGCCTGTGCCTCAGTAGCTGAGAAATGCGTGGTCACTCTCTTACCTGTAAGGCCAGCTCCAGCTGCTCCAAAAAGGGATGCCATGACAGCAATTCCAGCAGTCGAACCTAAAGCAGCAGCTCCAGCACTTCCAATGATAGTAGCAGCTCCCGCAGCAACCAGAGGGGCAGCAAGACCCCCCGTCAAGCCTGAAGATGCAACAAGTAACACCAGCAAACTATTGTCACTTACAAAAACAGGCAGTCCTTTCTCTGTGCTGTGTGAGTACTGCTAATTGAAAGAGGACAAATGATGGTCTTTTTTGCATCACCAATAAAGGGGCTTTCTGAGACCCTCCCCAGGCTCTGAATCTCTGCATAGATTCCTTGACTGACTTCAGTAAAAATGAAGAATAATTTAAAAGTCAAAGGAAGAATGTGTGGTAGCCAGTGGTGAGCTATGCCCTGTTTGCTTAGGAAACCTTGATCTCATCTCACGCTATTTTGAATTTAGAGTTGAAGATCTGATCCTCTTATAACACAAGAGCAAAAGAGAAGAAAACACTTTTTATGGGTGATGACCTCAGTTTAGTACTTCCCCCAGCCAGTGAAGCTACACTAGAATAACTTTTCCAGCTAATTCTTTCAGTTTTATTTTCGTGTGGCTGAAAATACTTTTCTTGGATTTGGGGTTTCTTCTGTCGTGTAAGGTTTTTTTGTGTTGTTGTTTGGGGTGGTGTTTTGGTATCTGAAGTGATATACTACCTTCAGTGAATGCTTTAAAATTAGAGCTTGAGCTGAAAGGTATGATGGCTTCCATTGGTGAATGTGTAATTCAGCGATCCCTCCCTCTGCCCTAGTGCTGTGCATGCAATTCAGGAGCAAGTTTCCAAAATGCCTAGGGCAGCCTCACCGATCACTGTTCCGCCCCCAACGGTTGCCAAACCAATCAGCAGGTATCTCTTCAGCTTTTTTCTTCTTTCCTTCTTTTTTCTTGATACTTCTGCAGTTCTGCGGGGGGGATAGAAGCACAAAAGCTGATGGAAAAGGCTGACGGATAACAGGCCTGCAGCAGAATCTGCTTTTATTCTCCTCAGTGTAATTTCCCTACTGGGAACAGTAAAATGTAACATGCAGGTGTGGACAACACACTCAGATTTATGAGCATGGACATAAACCCACAGATTTAAATTGAAACGATTTAATTGCTGACAAAAGCCAACAGATGTTACTTACTTGGAAAACCCTTCCTAATAGGGCTGAAGCTTGTAAAAAAAAAGAAACAAAAAGTCAAAAGCATTTCAAGAACTATATACTGCCTATGTGTCTTAAAAAAATGCAAGAAAGCTAAGTGTGTTTGAAACAAAAGGGAATAGGGATAGTTTGTGCTAACAAAGAGATGGAATTAAACTGTTCTCCAACAACAGTGTTTATATTGAGCCGCTTTCTAATTGCACATCACAATATAATAATATAATAGGTATCAAACACAGTCATTAGTTCATTTGTCTGTATGCACTTAAGCTACATTTTAACAAGCTTATCAGAAACAGGTAAACAAACCTAAAAGGAACAAGTATCACTTATTAGGTACTCCTTTGGCTTCTGTCCACCGTCTTTGGTTTCTCTCTTACAAGAAACACTTCCCACTTCAGAGTAAAGTGCGAGAAACAGAGGATACTGAAATAAGTTGTTTACAGAAGAAGGTTCCTTCTAGCCTGCTTAGGCAGCAGCTAATCTGGGCCTTGAAACATGAGAATTTATCTTGCTTCCAAACTTGGATATTTTCCCTCTTAATCCTAGCCTAATTGTGGATTTTCATTATCCATATAATTGCCTAATCCTTCCTGGAACCCCCTAAGCACACTGTAATTTTGATAAAGACAATTTTAGATGAGTCCCAAACAATATGCAGCTTTGCAAAACACAGCGGGAGAAGAATGAAGCACAGTGGGTGAAATTCCTGCATCGCTGAAGTCAATTGCAGAACTCCCACAGACTTGCATGGCACAGAGACTTTTTCTCCACAGAGATCCTCCAAAAAACATCGTGTATTACCTTGTGCAGCAACAAACGTAGCTGTCTGCAGAGAACCACAGTGCAGCCTGCAATGGCTGTCTCTTCAGCAATTTCCGTATAACCACATTCACTTTCTACAACCCCGTGGTCAAAGCGGTATTTGGATACACGCTAGTTTGCACATGCAGTCATCAATCGCAATCCCTGGCTTTGGAAAAAATTGCTCCTGGAATTCTTTAAATAAGCGCTGCAGCCTGACTGTTAATACCTAAGCTGGCAATATCCAGCAATTTCTGTTCTATATAGTGGTTCATCAGCTTTTATAGTCAATGTGCTCTTGTCTTGGGCTGAAAATAATGACAGAGAGAGCTGAAATACGGCTAACCTGGCTTTAGTGGCAATAATGAGCGATTTGAGTTATGTAGGTAGATAGTTTGCAGCAACAGCCTGCCTGAAGATGCAGTAAGTAAAACTACTCTTGTGAGAACTTTTACCTGTCGTTGCTTTCCTTCTGTAGCTGCTAGCAACCGCTTTTGACAATTGCTTTCCTAATAGCTTCTGCATTACAATTATCACTTGATTACCAGACTGCTTTTTATCCACTCTGGTAATTAACTCCCTCTTCTGGTACTTCTCAGTCATCTTGGATATGCAGCTTCTTGCCAGAACCACAAATTACATTCAAAAAGATTTTATAGGTGGAATGACAGGTCATTTGTCAATGATGAGAAGTGGCAGGAGTACACGTTAGTGAGCAACTGATGTCATGTTTTCCCATTTCTTAGAGAACCGTGTACAAAAGAGAGGTTCATACTTGCAAGTCAGGACATGTTTGGTGCTAGTAAAATGAATTCAAGTGTTTGGAGCGTTGTTCTATAGATGACCACGCTGTACATTTAACCTTGCACAATCTGGGCCACAGGCCAACACACCCAAAGCAGCAAAGGCGGGAGCAGAACCTTCTGTTAACAAATATCAGTAAAAACCGCCTATGCAGAAACTGCCAAAACCCTGTTTGGTTGTTACCGTTCCAAAACCTCTTGCAGTGGATGGTCAAAGCTGGAAGCATCCTACGCAGATGTTAATGTATTCCCTGCCCCAAAAGTCTGTGAGGTCAAAGTGGCGACAGGTTGATATTCCGCTTCCTTTCCCCATTGACTCCTAACTTTAAAACAAACAAAGGGTCATCAATTGCCCACAAACCTCAGCCTTGTTTTAGCACTGCAATAACAAATGTGTTCGTACTGCAGTCTTGGACTACTGTCACTATAAACATTTTTTTTCCTCTTTTATCTAATAGGTATTTATTTTATTTTATCCATGGCTACAACTTGTGCAAAGAACAAGACTGAAATCCATGGCTTTCGCCACACCAGATATGTGCAAAACCCACTGGGCTAGCTGCAACGTTTGAAAGCCACAGTTGTAGGTACAGTGCGTAATTCTCCAGTCGCTCTTGCCATTATCAGACACGCCGTTTTATCTTTTGGTGTTGCGCTACAGCCCGTTTCAAGAGCCACAGTCCAGTTGATGCAGAATTAGGTAATGGAGCGTCATCTCTGCAAGTGACATACCGCCCTCGGCATCGGTGTTTTCCTGCGCTAAAGGCCCAGGATTGAGCTTGTTTCCACAAGCCACAACAAACCAGTCCCCATTACTACCAACCCTTGCTCCTGCATGCCAGTTTAGCAGTCCATGATCTTTGAGATTATTTTGACTTTCCCTTTTTACAGTGTGCTATAAAGTTAAGCTTTATTTAAATAAAGCTATAACTGAAAGACACCAATCACATGCTGGACCTCACGGTAATGTCTGAACTGTACTGTGTCAGGGACATTGATTAAAGCCTTTATTAGCACTCAGGTTAATCTCATAACCTGTTTGCTGAGTTGACGGATAAAAATAGTAAACAGTCCCTTGAAAGTCCACTATGGACATGTTTACTGCCTTATATATTGCTAAAGCTTCACACAATTCCTGCCTTATAAGTGGAATATAAAAATACTACATTTCTTATAGATACCAACTTTTTGGCTGTTTCACATCTAAGAACTGGTGATTAAGAGAATTAATCTCATATTTATAACACAGAATTAGGAGTCAGGTCCGTTAAGTATCTAAAGTTGCAGACTGTTGCCCTCAGAAATCTACCGTCAAAAAGAGTTTGACAGCTGTCTCTTAAACAGAATACAGAGGAAATCAGCAGCAGAGGATCTAATCCTGAAACTTATAGGAATTTCATTCTGCAAGAGGCAGCTCTATCTGAAGAATACTGTGCCAAGAGCTAAGAGCCACGAGCTATTTCTGATGTATTTAAGCATAATCTAGTCTAGGAGAGGAAACTGGAAGAAGATGAGGGAGTTAGTGTGGAGTATCCTTTACCAGCTTGCAAGGTTGGGTCTCTGCTCTAAATTTTAAGAACACTGAGCTTTCCTGCCTCTCAGTACAGCCAAAGTGCTGCGAGGGCTCTGCAACCCTAATCAAGCCCTAACTGATTATGCTAAGAGCCATGGGGGAAATGATCAGAGACTGGACTTAGGCACAAGTAATTACTGCTAAGCTTTCAAGCACCAGCAGTGTTTTTTCATCCCATAGTCAACCCAAATGTTCTTACTCTGACTCTTCCTCCTTTTGTTCCTTCAGGCTCTCAAGCAGAGATTCCTCCAGGACTTCCAGCTCCTCCAAGGGGATTCTTAGCAGCCAGGAGACGTGGCAGATCAACACCCTGGCTCGAGCATCGTAGGACCCTTCAACAGAGGGAAACCCAGGAAATCCATCAGTCTTGCATTGCACCAGATTAAATAGCGAGTGGCACATTCAGCTGTGCTAGAGAACCGTGTCGCATACAAGCATAGCTCCTTCCCTCAGGCCCCCTTCATCTTCTACATATTTGAACACATGTATCTAGAGAAGAGAGCGATAAATGGAAATCCTTCTTCCCTGCAAACCTCATCCTGTGAACAGAGTCACTACACCAGGTAATTGCCTCTGTGGCAGGAAAAGGAACTCAAACCCTTCTGTCTTCATCCTCTGTGACAGAAACTTTTTGGCTCTGGATAGGCTGCATCTTTCTTCTTAACAGAGAAATGCTGCAACAAGACCAGTCCTAACCGGAAATATCATATATACATATATGTAACATGACACAGTACACCTCAACTACGCATGGATGCAAGATATGGTATCTTGTAAAAATACATCTCCATACAAAACCTTTATATTCAATTGATCTTGTTGGCAACAAGAGGGACTGTGGAGTTTAAAACTGCACACTGGCTCACCTCACAGCATCACTGACAATTGTTTGCATTTACACTTCACTGCAGGAGATGCAGGAGTGGACAGTGCACTCAGACGACATGTGATAGGAGTAATGATTACTCCTGGACTTCTAAGCAGGTGTTCTTAAAGAAAAGACATTTAAAATGTAACAGATTTTAAATTATTTGTGCCAACTCTTGCTTTTTGAATGTGTTTCTCTCAGTAGCACCTGCTGCTTCCTGGTGATAGACTTTTGTAAAGGGTTCTTAGTGCACTCTGGGATGAAAAATGCAATTGCTTTTCTAGGGGTGGGTGAAGGTACCAGCAAGACCCAATTACAAAGTATGCTTCTGATACCCGCTGCACGTAGATCAAATATGGCATTTGGCAATCTATTAATTTTATTTATTTATTACCATCATTACCAAGATACCAGACTACTTCAGTAGACTTTAATGACGCCACTTTTAAGATTGTGCTTCGCTGAGAAATAAGGATAGTATTTATCTTCACTTCATCCCCGATATGCCACGTCCTGCAAGCCCAAGCAGGTGCTTTAATGAAAGTAGCCTCCTGACTTCCTGTCTGCTAATACACAACTTCGCTTTTTACTTAGCCAGCTTGGCACTAAGTCGGTGAGGCTTGAAAATATATTTCCTTTAAATTCCAGCTTAGCAAAATAAGCAGTTTTGCAATAAGTGACTTGTCAATTTTCCATTAAAAATAAAGCAAGAACAAAAATGGTACTTTGTTCTGTAGTGAAACGGGCTAATCAGCAAGCAGTGAATTCTTTCCTGTGAGAACATGTTAAAACACAGAGATTTAAAAAATGCAAGTAGTGATATAAAACAGGCTTCTTTCAGAACTGAACATTTTGTTCAGTAGGCAGCCTTTATTTCATTAATTTTATCAGACTAATCCATGTTATGGATTGCAAACCAGAAAATTGTTTTATGCGCAATATCATATACGAGTAAAATCACGTTTATTTATAACAGGCTTCACAGGACGCTCTGGAATTTATTCCCTGAATATTTTTTTTTTTCTTTTTAGGCAACAAGCAATCTTCTGAAAGTTTGCTAGGCTGAGATCTTCATAACAGCTTTGTTGCCTTCCTAAAGGAAGAGGTGTCCTGCACCCCTGGAAATACTGGAGAAAAAACACCCCACTCTAGGTATTTAATTCCAGAACTTTTCTACCATCACATACATTTGCATACCAATGCACTCATGTGAAGGTAAGGAGGTGAACAGTTCCATTTTTAACAGGTATTATTAATCATTCCTAATATAATAGTTGCTTTTCCCATAGTGGATGCAGGGGAAGAGTGTGGTGCTTTTGCTATAAAGGAAGTTAAGATAAAATAGGATGGTATCTTGAGCTTTTTGAGCATTTTAAAGTATCAGATGTAAACTCATCTATATTGTTCTTACAAAGAATACATGCTAGGTAAACTTACCATCTCTAAGAGAGAAGGACAGAAGGTCCTAAAAAGAAGAAAAAAAAAGAATATTGAAGTTAAAACTGATGGATTACGCCTGGAGGTATCAAAATGGAGGTGTGAAAACCCATCGAACTATGATTTAATTACTGCAGCATGTCAGTTCATAAACATGGGAAGCCAGCAAGCTACAGTTCAGCAAGGCAGCACGGAGCAAAGCCAGATGTTTCCAGTACAAAATTCTCCATATGCAGGTACAAATGGCTGGACAGAAGTAGAAATGCTTGGTATATGCTGAAGCATCTCCTATTTTTTTTTATTAGCCATCCTGTTGCAATTGAAAGCACCATGATTATGCCGGACTTCAAAGTTTGGAGTAACAGGGCTCTAATCCTCCTATCGCTCTAATGCCTTCTGCTCGCTATATAGTCATATATACTCATATTACAGATTTGAATACTACTCCAATGGACCAGTGGCCTCTGCTTTCTTTTGCATTCTGTGATTTCAGAGCTCTAGGCGGTAAGGCTGAACTGGCATGAAGTTCTTTTGAATTAAGTGCTCAAAAAAATAGAAATCTCCGAATTTATGGCCATCTGTCAAGCTTGAGGGACTTGACTTCTGTGTTGGCTCTTCATCATAAAAAAATTGGGAAAACAGATCAATCCAATAGATGTTTTCCATGGACAAATCCATGAAAAAAGAGGCCAGTGTTTTTACTACTATGTTCTCCTCTTGTCTTGTCACTGGATAAATTTTAAATTCTTTATGTAACTACAACACTAAGCACTAGCTCAGTCTAGCTACTTCCCTGTCCTACACACAAATAAAGCACAGCTGAATTTTACAGGGAATCCTTCAGCCCTTCGGGAACACAAAAAATGCAGCCAAAGATGTAGGACGCTGCCAAAGAATTTATGATTATTAGTCTCGAAAACTCCTAAGGAAAATTTGTATCATAAAAATGTCTCCAGTCTTTCCCCTACTGCATGAGAAGTGTAGAACACAGAACAAGCCATCCTTAACCAGCTCCCACTAGAAGAGGGGCAAACTGTAGATCTCATCCAGGCAAAAGTAAGTGCCTGGACTCTGAATGTCATTTTAACATGAGAAGAGTCTGTTATTTCATGAAGGAGAAGAGAGTTTTTGCTGCAACATCAAATGGAATAAGCATTTCCAGGAGGTATCTGTTGGGCTGGGTTCTGCACAAAGCAGTCACCCCTGCTCCTTCATCCTGCATCCCAACGGCGGAGCGCTCACCCAAGAAAAGGAAGGTCCTGGTTTGCTGTCTCCAGTGTGTAAATAACCCTTTTAAATTAAGTTAGTCACTGCATTAGGTCTCCTCTGTTCCCCCGATCACCATGCTGCAGAAAAAAAAGGCTTCTCTTCAGGTCTGGTCATGATTAGTGCTCTGTGCATGGACACATGCTGCAGACTGTTTCCCAGGGTTGGTGGGACATGGGAATTGGAGACATTAATCCACATAGACAGAGGAAGGAATGTAACTCTAGTTTCCCAGAGCCTGAGTACTGTAACTACCCAAGTATTAGATCCAGGGGCACCATCACCTCCTCCCTGGCTGCAGTTTTGTGAGGAAGGGTTGACACAGAGGTGTCAAAGCCCAGCAGAAGGTCCAGGGATGGGAGTCTCAAGCAGAAAGTTGAGCAAGCAAAGAGCCTGAAGTCTAGAATAAGGTGAAGCTTGTGACCTTGTTGCCATAATTTTCCAACAGGCTTGTGGTTTGTGCAGAGCCCATTTCTAGGCAACAAATTCGCCCTGTGTGTTGCAAATGGAGCCGTAGGTCTTGATGTAGGTCCTGTACGATATGCCTAGTATCATCTGTGGCACCTAATATCAAATAATGTCTTTTAAAAATTGGGCCTAAGCATTTATATACATTTATTTCAAAAGGTGAGGGATGGATACAGGCAATCAGTTGATAAACTGGACCCACTGTCTTTATTGCATCTGTACCAATTAGCATTCTTAAATATTTCTAATTGGTTTAGGCTTTGCACATACTGCTGTGCAGTCTTCTGGAATCCAATCAGCATTGATTAGATTAGTTCACAAGTAGTTCGTTTTCCTCCTCTAAGCAGCAGCTTTTATATTTCAATCTTTGAAGCTGGTGTTCTGAATCTCCCTGTGAACTCTATGCACATTACTACCACCCACGATTGAGAAACCTTACAAAGAAAGGGAAGCAATCTTTACTCAGAGTCTTTGACAGCTTTTTATGAATTGCTGTGAGTTCAGAACCCATTTCCTCAACAACAGAGAGCATCTGATCCAAATCGCAGTAGATGTATAGAAAAACTCAGGAAAATGGGCATTCTAAGTATCTTCAGAGCAAAAAACTGATTCATAATAAGAACTTCCAATATTTTCTCACCTATCGAGAAACAAAAGCAGACAAAGTCAACTTCCCCACTTCTTCTGCTACACTGCCTTCTCACACCACACTCACAGCCTTTGTGTTATGACTACTGTCCTTAAAGGATTCAGTTAACCAACATTTGCCTGTATTAGTCATCTGCAATGAACGCGAACAAAGATAAAAATCCATAATCCTCAAATTTTCATTGAATCAATGGTAAGCTCACCTCTAATCTCTTGACCTCATATATAATCCCTGCAGCACTGCTGAGATGGAGGGCATTCAAAAATGCAGGGGCTAGTGCTGACAGGACCCTGCCACTGAACACACCGAACAATTAAAGTGTTAAATAAACAGTAAATGTTGCATCAGTAGCAGCTGAATACAAAGAGGCAAAAGCACCATAAAGCAACACATCGAGAATTCACAAAGCTTTGTCCTGTAGCTTGTTGATTTTCAGGTAAGAAGGAAAAATCTGATCTCAGCTCGATGCACTGAAGTTTCCCACATGCCAGTATGCTTTCCCAAAGATACCTTGTAAACCTCTTCTGCCTTGGTCTAAAAAAGCCTTTAATTCTATCTTTCCTTTGACAAAATCAATCACCTTGCCCATATACATGATTGCAGAAGGTACCAATGTTGTGGCATTAGACCGATAGCTATTCCTGATCTTTGCTTTCAACTAATCAAATAATTGTTATCTACGGCTTCTGTATTCCACCTGAACCAAGGTGATAAGTGCTTTGGTTCTCTGGCTCAGAGCAAAATATCGCACGCTCCCACTGAGCCAGAGCCACTTTTGTAACAGCACAAGGAGCCCTTATGCAGCATAAGGTCGGAGGAAGCACACGGTAAAGTTTCCCAAAATTTCACCCTTAATAAACTCAGCATCAATGCAGGAAAACTTGCCTAATTCTAGAGAATCCATCCTGAAGCTGAGACAACAAGGGAAACAACCTGAGAAACACCAAGCCATCCAGATGCAGAAAGAACCGAGTGCAGATTTATTGATTTTGAGCAAACAACGTCAAAACAGCTACTCTTATTATAGAAGATCTGTCCTAACTTACTAATTAAGCTTAAGATTCTCTGTCACTGTACTTCTACTGTTATAGGACCTTGGGCATTGTAACGTTCGGATGTTTGGAGCAGATCCTCTGAGGCCTTTTATGGACTGACTAGAAGTCACGAAAGATGGCTGAGATAATGGCAGCTGGTCACGACGACCAAGAAAGTTCACGCCTATCGTATCTTGACTTACGCAGCCTTGTTTTCGCATCTGCTGTTCTCTCGGGGCCATTGCTAAAGGTGAGCGTGTGATAACTCTTACTCAATCCCAGAGTACCTGTCTGCACGCAGGATGCCTCGCTATTTCCTTGTGTGCAGTGCACTTGTGTGTGAAGGGACAGTGGCCACGTTCTGCCTGGCATCAGCAGCAGCCTACCGTGCTCTTCGCCCTGCACGGCAGAACCTGAGGCTGGATGACGAGATATCTTCCCCAGCTGAGACTCTGCGGCAAAGGTGAATGCCATCAAAATGCTTCACCTCTTTTATCTTTACATCAGCTTTTACATCAGAACGCTACACAGTAGTCCAGTCTCGCTAATACTTTCTCAATGAAAGAAAATAAAATCACAAGAACTTATTTCCTTCCAGACAAAGGTCAGTCTAGAAAAAAGACTCTGGAAATTGTGCTGTTTGGAGCATGTATGTAGAGGTGTTTTGTATTACTGGCATAGCCATGGGGCTTTGAAACAAATGAAAATCAGGTCTATCGTGTTCAGTGTTTCACCAAAATCTGCAGAATGTACGTATGAACCAAAACCACTGCAATAACAGTGTCAGAGTAAAAAGTTTGACAGTTCTCTGTTCTGTAGAGCAAAGGTATCAAAGACACAAAACGTTAATTCAACAGACAGTAACTGTGCCTTGTGCTCATCGCTTCCATGAGCTGTTAATGGATAGAGAGACTGCCAGTCACCCACACAGCTGCTCAGAAATATATGCATATCAGAAATATTGATTTTACTTCCCTGACTGTACAAACACAACTTCAGTTGCAAACAGACATGTATGCCAAATCTCTTTTGCAAAACAAAGGCGAGGGGAGCATATGAACTTACTTGGGTAATGACAACTGGATTTTCTTTCAAGATGGGATCCTCCAGCAAAATCTGGGCAAATGTTTCTTTGCCCTCACCTCCTAAGCCACTAGCAAATGCTGTCATGGTAGGTAAGACAGCTTCGGGCAGGTCCAGCCATTTCACAAAGCCCTCAATGAATTCCGTCCTGAAGGAGCTGTAAGGCAACAGTAGCAGTTAAAGCCCTGCAACTGGGTATTTTTGCACGGTTTGAGTGGTCCCTGCTTTCAGATGCTGATCTGTTGCTGTTCACGCAAAAATCAAAGCATTGTAACAAGTCAGCAGAAGTCGAGCTGCTACACAAGCTGGCTAAACAAACAAGCAAGCAAGGTCTAGCACCATTCAGATTGCTTCGATACATGCTCTGAAGTCTGCAGTATTAAGGGATGCAATTTGTGAGAAGTATAAAAGTCTTAAAGGTGTAAGAAAGAGTCAAGACAATTAAGAAAACACCTCATGTCAAAAAGATCTTCCCTAACTGGAGAAGAACACCAGCTCCCCCCAAGCTGCTGCCCAAAAGCCACCTCCTTTGCTCACCCCTTGCTCCCCCGTGTAGTACCTTTGCTCTTTTTCAGGGAACAGCCATGCTAGGGATATCCCACAAAGCGCCGCATAAGCAAATCTTCCCGGTTCACCCAGCTGGCCCAGGAGCACACATGGTTCCTTTTCACCTGCCTGTTCAGACCCGCTATGCTGTTTCGAAGCCCAACCTTTCCACTTCTCTTCTGCGGCCATTTTTACCTGCAAGTTCAAAGAGGAAAAAGCAGAAGGAAAAAACACCCAACAAAACAATAAGCAGTTGGAAACCAGGAAGCAAGGAGACAAATTGCCTTTGTCACTGTCACACTTGCTATCGATATTAAGTCACCTTGTGTATCCCCCCACAACACAGTGCTGTGACCAAAGAAGACAACAGGAGACTTTCCATTCACCAGTTCTCAAAAGCATTGCACAAAAGAAGCCAACAATACATCACACAGCAGAAGGAGAAGCCCCCTTCAAGATGCAAAGGGACTGGGCTCCATTCAGGCAAATCATTCACATGCTTACCACAAAAATAACATGTAAAATAAAAGCTCTGCACCTGGCGCAGGGACTAGTACAGCTGCCTGGGAAATAATTTGCTTCTCTCATCCCCAACCCAAATTGCTCCTCTGTTTAATTTGCTGACTGCGTTAAGAAAGTCGAGTCCAGCTGCAGCCTCTGATAAGAACTTTTAATGTGTCCCATGAACATTGCTATGCTTTGCTTGTAACATTCTCTCCTTTATACAACCTGCCACTGCTTTTTCCCTAAACATAAGATCCCTGTGCCACGTGGACCTTGAGCTGGGCCAAACTATTATTTTTTTAGAGCACAGATGTGTATGCACTTCTGACTGCGCATTTGCAACTGAACGGCTTACAACTGCTCCCTGGAGCTCCCCTGATTATACAACCAACTACCCGAAATGACTGATATCAGGCAGACGTGACAACAGCTCATTTCACGATTCACCATGGGGAACAATCTGCTCCAAAGCTTGCTTACATCACCTGAAATTTCTACTGGCTCCCTCTAACTGTTTTTTTTTCCTTCTTAAATATGTTATCCCAGAGGCGCTGATTGGCTTGGCCTTGGCCAGCGGCGGGTCCGTCTTGGAGCCGGCTGGCATTGGCTCTATCAGACACAGGGAAAGCTTCTAGCAGCTTCTCACAGAAGCCACCCCTGTAGCCCCCCCGCTACCAAAACCTTGCCACACAAACCCAACACATGGCTTCGTGAAGATTCAGTTCATTTCTAAGGGGCCCAAACCACTTACTTCATTATATACTTCCTATTTAAATGTTTCTTTTCTTCTGAACCCTGTAGAAAGGAAAGCGGTTTAATAGGAATTAGAAGCCTGTGACACTACAACTGAATCCCAGAGGATGCAGATACTATTTATGGGATAGTTTTAGAGTCCTAGAAGAAAGAAATGCAGCACAGGAGCAGCTCTTTTTAAAGAGATTTTATTATCTACATGCTGTCTGTCATGGTCTTCCAGGAAAGGCGTCTGTCTTGCTTTCCCGCTCAGAAATTTATTTGAGGCGATTCGTATTTCTCAAGGCTCGCACTGTTTAACTGCTGATGTATAAATGCAAGGAAAATTCATCACCCAAGGGCCGACGGTTATCGTAACTCACAGCTCTCTCCCTGAGAGAGCTCAGCCCCACTGCAACACCTATCTCCCAATGCCACACGGGTCTAAGGCGTCTCACTGCGTTTCCATGGAAACATCACATTCCAGCAACACAGGAGCACAAAGTCCACAGAAATAAATAAACTCTGTTATTTCCGTACCAACCGGAGAAGGGAAGGGCCAGGTTACACTTCCCCCAGGGACAGCAGGTGCCTGGGATCAATCCTGGCTGCTCCAGTACCAACCCCAACAGGCAGCAGCATTTGCATTTGCTGAATTGCAGTGGGGAAGGTGGTGCAAGACACATCTCCAGGCTTTCCAGGGCTTTCTTACAAACTCCCAAGATGATTGTTTTATTACCTCAGGAGCTCCAAAGCCCTCATTTGGACTCCCAAAAATCCATTTCATGTCACTTGCTAGACTCTGATCTTCCTAAAACATCCAGACTTATGGACCAATTTGCCCAGAAATAATCTAATGCTTAAAGTTTCAATAACTTTACAATTACTTGGCATGTCTACTCACCTCTGGACACAGATTTATGAGCTCATTATGGGAGACAGCATTGAAAATAAAATCCCCTTCCCTGCTGTGATAGATTTATTGATTCAACACAGGCTCATAAGAAAAGTGAAGCAGCTAAAAAGGACCTAGAAACAGTACAACTGTTTAACCTTGTTTCCCAATAACATAGAAGACGTGATCAATTATGGAGCGACACCATAGTGGCTTCTTGCATGCAACTTTATTGCCGTTATGCAACAAATAATTCACAATGCTGAGCATCTAGAATTCCCAGAGAAAGTTTTTCAAAGACTTTGCTCTGAAGACACTCTGATCTGTATGCTCAATGTGCATCCCTCAGCATAGGTATCTATTTCTTCATAAATGTCTAGGAAAAAATGGGCTTGGATTTCAGATATGCAACATAAAAAAGGGGCAACATATGATTTAGTAAAGAAATCTTGGGCCAAGAAGTTTTGCCACTAAATCCAAGGTGAGGGAATTGAGTGCTAGAAATATATCCCAAAAGTTATTTACAGCTTGTGGCACTGGAATTCACATCTCAAACAATGTGATTCAGCAATCAATAGCATTGCCATAATCTGAACTGTCACTTGAAAGAGAAATTTTTTATCACTTCCAGCACTCACTTTTCACACAAAGCCCTTTGTTTTCTTGAGAGGTGCTGTGTTTTATACAGCAGCTCCCAAAATCCCATTTGGAAAGCAGAAAGATAATCCTTACGTGGATCTAAAGCTGTACAATACACACGTGCTCCCTACTGCTGGAAGAATTACAGACATGCCGGCATCGCATTTATCCTAAACTATGACAAAAGTTACCAAACCGCTGACATGTTAATCTCAGAGACTCTCAAAAATTAATGAGGCATCTCATCAACTTCAGAGAAGTCACAATGGATAATCTTTCAGATGGGGTTAGCCAAAAAGTCCCTTACCAAGACACACCAGAGGATGGCACGGCCAAATTGTCATTAAGCACCAGCCACAAATTGTGACACCAGAAGCATTTGAGCAGATGAGTTTCCTTGCGTGGGGCTCCAGAGCCACACACGTGCTTACACACTGGGAGCGCCACGGCCTTCTCTTTTAATCAGTAGATAAGACGTACAGACACAGAATGCAATTAATTCAGTCCCTGATAAAAAAACCCACGTGAATGTGATACAGACGACTGCTGCAGAAATGCACGCTAAATGTAAAACAGCGATCTGGGACAGAGGGGACGGGGACACGGAAAAGCTAAAAGCTTAAGTAGTTGCAAAACGGAGCGCGTTTGATCCAGTTAATCCGGACACTTGTAGCGGCAGTGACTGAGAAGCGCTGTCATTACACAGAGGGCGGGAAAGCTGTGGAGAAGGATGCGACCAGCAGAGAGAAATCACTAGTGGGAAAAACATGAAGGAAGCACCTCAGCTGGGAAAGCTGTGAGGAACAACACCTCCACAGCTGCCAACGTTCACTTTTCTCGCAAGTCCTTTGCGTTTGACATCTCTGCTACTAGAACACAGGCGGTTTTTTACAGAAAACAGCACTTTTGACAACCACTGAGGGGAGGAAACCAGCCCCCGGCAGCAGCGCGGACGCCACCACAGCTCTCCCCTCAGGAAGCGGCCTGAAGAGAGAGAGAGTCCCAACAGCCCGCTC